ACACACACACACTACTACTACTGTAGCTTGGTTACCACAAGGGCCACACCACTCCAAAAGCAGCCAGAGTCATTGTCAGGAGAAGAAATGGAGATGACGACTCAGGTCACTCTGTCGAAGGAACTGACGGTTGCAGCGAAAACAGCAAACACCATTTGGCGCTCTGTCAGACTTGGTTGGTCGATGGCCACGGTTGCACTTGTGACGTCTGAAACCAGGCTCTGACTTGAATTGTCGATTGCATGTCACACTACTCACAAGAGAGAAGCTGGGACGTTGAGCGGGATAGATGATGCCGGTGCGGACGCTTCCGTTCGTTCCAGGGGCGAACAATGATGCACACGCAAGCCACCAAGAGAGTGAAACCACCTCCTGCATGTACCACACTGCACAGCACCACGCTGATCCTGAATGGGGAGACTCCCCTCTGCGCGACACTTGTGCCTTGCTTTGTCACCTGGCCGGCGAAACGAACGGTGGCAGATAAGACAGCCCAATCCCATACCAAGCCAGATGTTCAATGCCAATGTGCCGAAGATAAGCCGAAATCACATCCCTCCAGTGACGACGGGGGCCACACTCAGGCCAAGGCGACGGCGGGAAGCCAAACAACAGCTGCTTGGGCACACGAACATCTGGCATGTGAGCCACATGGCCAATCTATTCAAGCCTCCGCTTCCGAAGCCGGGAGAACAATAGCGATGGATCACCCCACATCTATCGGACCTGCTCGTTGGTGATGCGTTCCTCCCACTGCTGTGTCTGCGAAACACAAAGGATGCTACGTATGCATTGGTGGTAGAAGCTATCGAGGCGCCGTAGGCCACAGTGCAAAGGGCACAAGCACTCCGAAGCTTACAGGAACACTGTCATCACACAGGCGTTATACAATTGGCGCTTCACATGGAGTGAAAGATCACGATTAGCAAACACATCCTGGAGCGATCCAAAGGCACGCGAGGCGAGTGACAAACGCCTCGACCCATCTCCCGCAGAAGGCGCATCCGGAGTGATGACAGAACCCAGATAAACAAAGGAAGAACATTTTCCACAACCTATCCATGAAGCAGAATGCCAGCAATATCAACTGCAGTAACACCAACACCAGCCACCATAAATTTGGTCTTGGGTATACTCACAGGGAGGCCAAATTCGGCAGAAACATCCTGGAAAGCCGTCAAAGCCAACACAGCATGCTCCCACGAACCATCTTCAAAGTTTGCATCGTCCGCATACTCAACATCAACAACAGCGGTCTGCTGATTGGTATGGGTTCGTCGTGCCAGGTTGAATAACTGGACATCCAAACGATTGTAAAATTGCTGATGAGCGCATCACGCTTCCGTGTGAGAAGTACAGGTTCCTGCACAAGTACGAGGGCAGTACTGCGGAATCCAGCCCCCGCCGCGATAGCAGCAAAGGCTGGATGAACAGCAATACTGACCGAGTATGACTGACTGGAACGTGTTTCCCGTGTGCACCCAATCCAAATAAAGAGATACATGACATGCACACCAAGTGCCCATGCGCATTGTGTTTTCTGATTGTTTTCTGTAGTCATCGTAGTAGTTCATTGTGATTGTTTTTCTTCTCTTGCTGCCATTGACGTTGTCAACAGGGCGTCAGGCATTCTGACTGTTCTTACGGATTTTTCGCAGGTCTTGATCGGTAACCTCGGCAAATTGCGCGGGTCCTGCAGGTTGCTGAGTATTGCGCGCTTTGGTTGAGGCTCATCCGGCCTGTCCAAGATCTCCTTCGCGAGCGACTCCGCAGTAAAAGTCTCAGTCCCTTCCTCAATTTTTTGGAGGAGCTCATTCACATCGTAAATATTGTTCAACAAAGGGGCTTCTTTTCTCCCAGTTCCAGATCAAATGTTGGAGCGCCATGATGACAGTTGTGGTTGTAAACAGTCGCAATTCTGCTTTAGTTATTTAGTAATCAGATCTTTTTTTGATCTTGTTCCTTTTCCACTTAGTCAATGTTTCCGCGCAATCTAGTGCCTTGTATTTTATGAACCACACGGTAACAACCACGCGGTAAGTTAACAATGAAAGACCATGAAGTAGAGAGTCAGTTCAGTGAATACTGCCCGTCAACAAGTGACGATGGGCAGTGGAATCCGTTCCTGACCGTCGTCACTGACGACGTGCAGTGGAATCTGTTCCTGCCCGTCGTCACTGCTCGTCGTCACTTGACGACGGTTAGTGGAACCAGTTCCATCACCTTTGAGCAGGCCGGACCGCGCTTTCCACCCTGCGCTGTTTAATCTGTCATTGGTCAACCCCAAGGCGACAATCACGTGACCCGCGGGAATCTCAATTCCATATCATTTGGGTTAAAGTATAACACGGGGAGTATATCTCAACCCGTTTTCCAATTTACCTGGACATGCTCATACGCCCGATTAAGAACAATCTCTTTCCGCTTTAAACAATCGATGAGGAGAAAATAATCATAAAATTGCAATAAAAAAGATCAATTGTGTAGTATCCCTGCCCGACCAATACGGAAGCAGTACGGAACTAATACGGAGCTTTGCCTGATGTATATTTAGTGTATCTCCGTATGTAAGCGTACGTCGTCTGCTGCATAAAAGCGGCTGCGCATTTCTGTTTTGATAAAATATTAGATTAGATTAGATTAGATTGGATAGCAATGAAAGCTAACTCGAAGAATAAGGATTCAGCCTCTAGGTGAGCACCGGAGAGAAAGTTATTTATTTTGCCGCTTCATCTTTCACGAACGATTATATCTCAGGTGTGTACCTGAAAGTAGAATAAAAGTAATTCTTGTTGATTTCACCGCGCCTACCACTCGGCTACCTATTACATTGGTGGCAGCGGTGTAGTTTTAAATAAAACAACGTGATTCGACCCCAGACTCCGATGGCTCAACCCGCTACAGCTCCGTGCGACGAATCAAGATGAGAATCATGTTTCTTGCCTTCCTCGGCCTGGTACTGCTTATTAGCCTGCAGCTCAGTCAGGGTGCTAGAGTGGATCACCCTTCCCTCCGCATGGCGTCCACTGGAGACTCCAATGGCGATTCCAAGCGACCCGCTACCTACACGTATACTACCGGTGGTGATGGCGAAGCTGATGAGGAGGACGACATGCAGGCTGCTGACCAAGACAAGGAGGGTATTCCCCAAGACCAGCAGCGTTTGATTTTCGCCGGCACGCCGTTGGCAGACGGCCGAACCCTGAGTGACTACAACGTTCAGCAGGAGTCCACTATTCACTTGGTACTTTGTCTCCGTGGTGGAATGCAGATTTTCGTCAACACTCTTCCTGGCTAGACCATCACTCTTTACGTCGCGCAAAGCGATGCTATCGACAATGTGAAGACCACGATTCAAGACGAGGAGGGAGGTCATTTGTCTGACGCCGAGCTAGCCGCTCTGAGTGACCGGCTCAACCAAGATGAAGATAACACCTGGCTTGCTCTCCGCCGTAGCTCCAGCCGCCGCCGTGGTTACTAACGCTGATTCCAGGTATGGCATTTTCTTTCCTGTCTTCCTTCAGTCTCCCTGTTCTCTTCAGTCTTCCTTTATGCGAGTGTGTGAATCCAGTTTAGTTTGGTAGGCGTCTGATCATGGTGAGCCACGGCTTACCCAGCTAACGTGGGACAATGTGTGTGACAACGCCCCTTATAGTTATAGTGTATTCAGTTCGGTTTTTGAACTGCGATGTTCCTGGCGGGTTGTGCCAGCGTTGTGCAGCAAGAGTGCTGTGGCTTCAGGTCCTATTTGGAGGACAGTTCTTTCCCCTTTTGACCCCGTGAGGTCGTGTGAACCTGGTGTGCTTCTACTTTATGATTTGTTATCAGTTCATTTCTTCTGTCTACTCTAAACGTTATCATTTCCGATATAATTTGCCATCTTCCGGTTGACGCTGTGTTCGTAACTCTTCACTAATTTTTTGGAAAATCACGAGGGCGTGATTATCTGTAGGAAGGGAGGGTGTAGTATCCCTGCCCGACCAATACGGAAGCAGTACGGAACTAATACGGAGCTTTGCCTGATGTATATTTAGTGTATCTCCGTATGTAAGCGTACGTCGTCTGCTGCATAAAAGCGGCTGCGCATTTCTGTTTTGATGAAGAGAAGATTAGATTAGATTGGATAGCAATGAAAGCTAACTCGAAGAATAAGGATTCAGCCTCTAGGTGAGCACCGGAGAGAAAGTTATTTATTTTGCCGCTTCATCTTTCACGAACGATTATATCTCAGGTGTGTACCTGAAAGTAGAATAAAAGTAATTATTGTTGATTTCACCGCGCCTACCACTCGGCTACCTATTACAATTGCACGCTCATAACACCGGGAAAAAATGAAGAAAGTTAAGTTAAGTTCCATAACGTTTTCTTGTGATTTTCATCAGTGGAATGCCGTATCATAATAACAACTAAAACACACACTGATATACCTAGGTTCATACATATTAGTCATAATTCCAAAGAGGGGAAGGTAAGCGCCACCTCTAGAATTATCAATAATATCCATGAATCTCCCAAGTTGGAAGGCCGTTGTTTAGTGCTATCCAGCAGTGCTCAAGCTCACTGCTTTGCCATGGAATGTGGAATGTATCAGAACTCCTTTTCAGTCTAGTGCTACCTTGTTCTCGTCTGACTGTTATAGCGTGGGCTCCATTACTGGGCAGTGAAAAATAATCCGACGCCACTCCAGCTCGTCCTTCTTGATGCGATAGCTAAATTGTTATCTCCTCGACGAATGTTTTTGTCTTACTCATTTATCATTCCCAAATGGGTTCAAGCCTGCCCACTTTCTGTCTTGCCTGGGTCAAAAGACGTCACAGCTCTGCAGTTGTTTTGTCGGAGATGAAGAATTGTTTCCCCAGGCATGTGAGTCTTTCCACAACGTCAACCACTTCTCCATTGCAGGGTGCATACAGGTTGCATGTAGGGTTCATGGAGTTTTCATAATGAATTAGCAGGATGTCACTAGCTGAAACTGCCATGTACTTTGATGTCGTGTTCAGGTATATCCAAAACAACAGCCTAACTGTGGATCATCAACTTTGCAGAGCGTTTCCTCAAGGACGACCAAATATACCCACATTTGTAGCAGACTCTGTAGAATATATAAAGAGTAAGTGTTCTGTTGTCACATGGGACATTCAAAGCAGTAATAGAGTTCTTAAGGTTGACTTTGTTTATTGCTGGCTTTTGTTTTGGATATACAGGTTGGTGCAAAAGTGTTGATCCCCCCATGCATACCCCTAAAGTGTGCTGCAACATGCACGGACTACGAACTGTAGGGAAAACCCCTGTTGCCATGGACAAAATAGACCCTGACCCTGAGTCATCAAGATAATGTTCCATGGAAAGAATAGAATAATTGTGCCGCAGGATCCAGCACACAGCATCATCGAGAACACTGAACAAAGCCGGTGAGGAGCACATCCCAAATGGGAGGACCTTATCAACGTAATAACGACCACCCTGCCACACCCTGCCACAACATGCCACACCCTGCCACACCATGCCACACCATGCCACACCATGCCACACCATGCCACACCATGCCACACCCTGCCACACCCTGCCACACCATGCCACACCATGCCACACCATGCCACACCCTGCCACACCCTGCCACACCCTGCCACACCCTACCACACCATGCCCAGCAGGGGCTAATCATTAGGATTGACCGGAATATTGCGAAACGCGTGATGAATATCTACTTTAAACATTAGAGAACCCTTTCCCTGACGAATCACATGCCGAACGATGTCGTCCACGGTTATATGCATAAGGCGGAAGCGGTCAGCTGGAATACAGTCATTAATGCTGTGGCCCGCAGGAGCAGACAAATGCACAATAAGCCGGTGGCCACCTGACTTCTTGGGGACAACACCAATACCAGCGGAACGAAGTGGAACACAGGGAGGCCGGAAGAACGGACCAGCGGAATGGCCACGAGCACATTCTTTGGCCAAGTACTCACTCACAATATCAGGATTGTCATAGGAGGAAACAAGGTTAGAGTAACAAGGGAAGAGCGCGGACCAGTACAACCAATGTGGAAGCCATGACGCAGGCCATTGAGGAGTGTTGCCACGAAATCCCTGTCAGGATGGGACTGGAGCTCATCCGCCAGGGAGGCGACATGGACAGGAGTACACGGGCGATGCTCAGACAAGGGAGAAGCCGCAGGCACGCTACGTGGACTTGCTGGAGGCAGTACATTGGCTGCGTGGATGGTCTCCCGCGCCACAAGAGGAGCACACATGACGAAATCGGCAGGAGCGAAAATTACACCGTCCGCGGTTGAACGCATCACAAGCCCTAGCAGCCGACTGTGGCTGCCGGCCACGTGGGCTAGACAAGCAGGAGGCAGCGAGGAGACCGGGCCTGTGGCAAGCAGAGCAAATAGGTAGGGACTGGCCCGTAAAACAACGAGCATACAAGTCCATGTCGGTCTTGTTCCAGAGGACCTCCGAACACCGAGAGGCTCTCTGGCGGAACTGGGTGTCGTAATCGGCCACCGCAGCCCACCGGAATTTCTTAGCCGACTGGAGAATAATGAGCTGGTAACCCAGCAGCTCGGAGGACTTTGACGGTTGGTGATCGGCAACGATACAACAATAAATCGCCCAACCCTCCAGCCAGGACTGGAGCGAGGCGATCCTGAGCCGTGACGATGAGGACGCCGTCATAACTAAATCGCCGTCCTCTTCGGACACGCGAATCCGTTTAGGATGAGGCTCAGCAGTGGGGGTCGACGCAATGACCAGGGGCAACAAACAGCTCAAATCTATAAAGTCCCCACGCAACACTTTCGCGATCTGAGCCAATGCCACATGGCTATAAACATCGACAGAACGAGAGGGCTTACCAGACTTTGGCAGGTGAGGACGAGTCAAAGTCGAAGCCCCAGGCGCGGTGAGACCAGACGAGGTGACGGAGCTCGCGGCTGGTGCTGGTGGAGACAACGACGCTGTTGCGCCCGACCCGCCAGGGACAGATTGAGAAACTGGAGGCCGGCGAACCGCGGGAGCGAAACTAGCAGGTAAGGCGGAAACGTGCTCCTCCTGAACGCCTACTGCCGATGAATCCAACAAGGAGACGGCTGGCTCTGGCTCTGCCAGAACGGGCGGAGTAGCAGAGGGTCCGCAATGCCAACTGGGGCAACAGCTAGTTAAGGCAGCACCGCGGAAAGGGACGACGTGATAAGAGCCTGGAACTCGGCGGTCTGCGCAGCAGAGAAAGCCGACCGGTCTCGCCGTGGAGGCATTATAACAAGATAATCCGAACACGGACGGACCACTGAACAGAAAGCGAGAGAAATTACCAGCCTGACACGGAAAGCACTTCTTGTCCAAAGGAAAGACAAACCAAACTGCATTCATTAAGCTACTGCAGCGCACGTAAAGGCAACAGTAGCAGCAGTGCAAAAATTCAAATTACAGATCATACTCGGCACAGAATAATAATTAATGGTATGCATCATGAGACCATCACTGCGCATGTGCCCGCGTGGGCTAACTTGGCTTTGATACTCAAAGCCGGCATTTATTATTCTTGATGAAGAAAGGGAAAGGAAAAATGTTACGAGTTATGACAACTGTCCACCAACGTAACCAGATCTTATACAGACAGCGAGTGCGACAAAATGGCTCAACACTGACTTTATTCATCATAACTAAATTGGCTCACCATCTCAGTTCAACTTTGCACACCTGATGAGCCATCATGACCTATTCTGCAAAACGTACGCCGTGTGGAACTACTTGTTATTGTACATAACTAGTCCATCATACATGATAGTGGAGTTCAGTAGGATGTTGGCGTTTCGGTTTGTCGCAATTCGTCTTTGCTTAGCTTCCCCTTCTATGTTTATTAAATAAACTTGAGCCTCCCAAGTTGGGTGGTCTGTTGCTTTGCGTCGTCGAGTTGTAGTAAGGCTGGTCTGTCCAATAGTCCTACTAGTTTCGTCATCATTCAGTAACTTTCGGCATTCTTTGTTGCCAGGATGCGTAACTCGTGCTCTTCTTCCTTGCGCTTTCCTTCCCCTCTTGGACCGAACCTGAGCCTTCCAAGTTGGAAGTTTGTTGGTTTGCACCTCGGAGAAGTGCTTGAGCTAGGTGTCAGGTCGCAGAATGTCTCAGTACTCCTTGTTAGTTTTGTGCCATTTTGTCGCACTGGCTGACTGTATAAGATCTGGTTACGTTGGTGGACAGTTTGTCATAACTCGTAACATGTTGTCCTTTTCCTTTCTTCATCATAACTAAATTGGCTCACCATCTGAGTTCAAATTCTTTAACTTATATTAATATAATTGTGAAAAGAAGAAAGACAAAGTGTGACAAGTTATGACTAACTGTCCACCAACGTAACCAGATCTTATACAGTCAGCGAGTGCAACAAAATGGCATTGAGTCCCTCTTGGACCTTTCCGAACCTGAGCCTTCCAAGTTGGAAGGTTGTTGGTTTGCGCCTTGGAGAAGTGTTGGAGCTAGGTGTCAGGTCGCCGAAGGTCTCAGTACTCCTTGTCAGTTTTGTGCCATTTTGTTGCACTCGCTGACTGTATAAAATCTGGTTACGTTGGTGGACAGTTAGTCATAACTCGTAACATTTTGTCCTTCTTCTTTTCACAATTATTTAATTGGCTCACCGTCCGAGTTATTTATACTTCAAGTATTACAAAATAATTGAAAAGCTTTGAATCGTTTTTATCAAAATCTCAATATTTGCCGGGTTGGAAGGTGGGAAACGTGTGGCTGCGAGTGCGCAGCTGACAATTTGATTCTCGTGCTAAAACAATGAGTTGTTTTAATGTCTGTGATGCCAGCTTTGCATAGTTGGCAGTTAGCTAGGTTATAATAATTATTAGTAATTGATTTATTAGTAGATTGAGTATTAGTAATTGATGTGTATATGGCAACACTTGTTGTGTAGCTTTCGACTTCGTAGTTCTCGGCTGAGGTTCATTAGTAGAATAGTACTTCAAATACAATTTGCATAATTTGCTCGGAGGCTAGAACTTTTGCAGTCTCCTAGAATCCCACAGAGCCGCGAAGAAAGGGGTTGAGCACAAAATAGGAGTTTCCTGAGCAGGATCAAATCCATGTGCAGGTCAGACCGAATTTGGGTGCGGTTCGAAGACGAGGACGAACTGACAGTGGACTGAGTGATCAAACAGCTGAAGGCAAGGTTGGCGAACTACTGTCTTGTACTGTCAGTAGGCTCCATGGCAGAGGAATATGGAGTGTGAGAAGGTGTAGTCAACATGGGGAGATCAGCGGGAGCAACGAAAACCAGCAAAAACCAAAACTACACACTTGGGAAATTTTCAGATATGATCAGCGAGAGCAGCAGAAAACAAAAACACACACATGTTCAAATATGCGCTCCCAACCAGGAAAGAGCCGAGAATGTATTTTGGAGAACCATGGCCTTTCGCCAAAACACTTCCGGAAGTTCGACTACTTGTTCGACTCCTGCCACCACATTCCAGAAATAATTCCGAAATTTAGAATCCAAAAACTCTTTAGTATTACAGTGCAGTACTCAGCAGTTTTTCAAGTTTTATTTGTTGAAGTAAATTGTTGACCGTTCTTTTTTGTTAGGACTGTTTTGATAATTTCTGTTTCGCCTATTCTGCAGTTGCATGCGTATAAGTATCTCATTCCAGCCCGTCCCTATTTCTTCCTTCCATTTGGCAAATGCTGGTTTTTATACATTGTATAAATACTCAAAGCTGACCGATAAATGCTCTGCATTCGGAATCGTCACCTGTTGGGTATAATATTGATGATGAGCTTAGTGTAGCTGTTGGCGAGCAAGCGGAGATCATGACTAAGCAGTGTCATAAGCGGGTAGTTTATTGTGATGCATGTCTTGCATCTCCTATTCATGGCGTTATTTGAGAAGTGTGGAGGATGATGCATGTTGATGATGGGCCGCAGCGGCTGCCGCAGCAGCCGTCTATGCTAGCCATATCTCTGTTGGGCCCACTTCCAATACTTGCAGTTCATTACCCAACGATTTAGCTTGTTTTCGTTCTTGCAGGTCTCAATTCAACAGTTTGTTCCCAAAGCTGTGACAATGCCCCAAAAGGAGAGTTTACTTGCAACACTGGCTATAGATGTATCGGTGCTTTATGGAACTATACATGCCACAGTAAGTACCTACTGTTAGAACACCACTCTATACATGCCAAAGTAAGTATCTACTGTTAGAACACCACTCTAAATATGCCAAAGTAAGTACCTACTGTTAGAACACCACTCTATACATGCCAAAGTATGTATCTACTGTTAGAACACCACTCTATACATGAATCCATACATCCTGTACACACACTTTGTACACACACTTTGTACACACTCTCTCTAACGGTCTCTAGGCTACACTGCAATTGATATACATTAGATCAAATTTTCGGGCAAGGCCCATCATCAGGAATAGGTCTACTGTAGACAAAACAGGGGTTTATATGTATGTGACAAGTACTAGTGGCCAAAGGTGTGATGGTATAGCGTAAAATGTTGCAATACCACAGGAAGCGAGATTATTATTCTTTGTGATATGTATGAAGTGAAAATATAGTGCAGTGATAGTGCAGGATTACTAGTGTGAGTACAAAGCAGAAAAATACACACTTCTAGCAACACTCACACACATACCTACACCCACACACACACACACACACACACACACACACACACACACACACACACACAGTGCAAAAATTCTTGCACAAATTATGACAGATATATTTACACATTACCCAACAGTCGCCAACCATTGTCACTGTTCACTGCCGGCTTCCTCTTCCTCATGAACAGTGCCTCCATGATTCTGCGGTCAAGTTATGACCGTTGCTTGCTGGCGAGAACTGCGGTGACGATGGGAAGGTGTGCTGCTTTTGTCGATAATGGTCTCGCCATGGCTTTTCCAATGTCGCGTTCTTGGCTTGTCTGTAGTGCTCCTCAGTCCTCTTGCGTGTTGTCCTTTCTGTTTCCCCGACGTATTCTTCTTGACAGATGGTACATTTCATAGAGTACACCACATCTTGGGACATACAAACATTACGCTTCAGACCACCATCGCATGCACGACATTCCGCCGGCCGACCCCGCCCCCTCTTCTCCCTCTGCCGCTGTACCGTCCTGGGGCATTGTGGCTTGCTGAATGACGACGAGACCATCATATTCTTTACTGAGCGACCGGACGTAAAGACCACACGCACATCTCTATCAAACGACCTGACCACTTGACGAACCCTCCTTGCAAGCTGGTCATTTAAGTACGGTACCTTGACAAGTGACGTGTACTGTCGTTTCCCCTTCCGATGTGGTGTCTGCTGGTGGGGCTGCTCTCGGAAACAGCAGTACATTACACCTAGAAAATTAACGGCCAAGCTTGGCCGCACAAAACATGACACTTCACTTGAACAGTTTCAACCCAATTATACTATCCTTCTGTACACACAAATTAGGCTTGTACAGACGCTGATAGATAGCTTCCAACACTTTTAACTGTAGTCCATAACAATGACGACCACGGCACAATACAGTGAAAGAAGAGTCGGAATACGAATTGCAACAATCAGGACTGGCCAACAGATGATTGTACACTGAAGACTTGCTACCACGAAACCTACGCACACCACTAACACTCTCACCGGCACTCTCACGATCACTACAATCGTCGCTCTCCGACTCATTGCTCCCTTCGCCGTACGTCCCATCATCCGCTTCCTCTCCGCTCTCTCTGTTATCCCGCCTGACTTGGTCCATTGAACGGGACTCGGCCGTCACCCTGCTGTCACGTCCCTCCTTGCGCCCTTGTCCATTGAGTGCGTAGCTTCTGTTGTAGTTGGCTGTTGATCGTCTTGGTCTTTCAATAGTGGGCTTGGATGGTAGATTAGTTGTGGTTGCTGTATATTGCATTGTTGGTGATGGTGTGGGAGCTGCTGATATGCAGGGTGGGTCTGTAATGTACTGCTGTTGTTTGTTATCACTCTGTACCTTTCTCTTCTTTGTTCATTTTTCAGTTGCAAATTTAGTGTTAGTACACACATTCGTTATTGTTCTCGCCTTCATTGATAAAATTCACACTTGTAAATTTCACTGCTGTTGTTCTTAGTGTTATTTCTCTAACTAATATTTTCTATAATAGTTCAATTTTGTTTTCATTGTCCTTTAGTACAACGAAGATTCCTGATGAGTGTTGTACGAAAACTTGTTTGAATCCTCATTTTCTCTACACCATTTCTTCACATTTTCATCGTTTTATTGCACATTGTCTCCAAAGTTTTACATTATATGAATAAAGTGTACCCAAATGTCGATCCAGCTTGTATTACTGATTGCGGTTATCAAATACTATTATTATTAATATTATTATTATTATTTATTAACTGGTTTGAGGGAAAGAGACAAACGGGAAAAGTCTGAAGAAAAAATTGACTGTCACCACCAGGACTCGAACCAGGGACCCTCGCTTGTAGCCAGCGATGCTCTAACCACTGAGCTATGGTGTAGTCGTCATCCAAGCAGAGACCGTTCAACGTTTTCTTCAGACTTCGTAACTCACACTTCCTGTGAATCCACACAGGCGGGTGGGACGCAGCCCTCACTGTAACCCACACACTTCACGTACAAACTAGCACGCGGGGAGCCCCAAGTCATAAAATATTAACTGGTTTGAGGGAAAGAGACAAACGGGAAAAGTCTGAAGAAAAAATTGACTGTCACCACCAGGACTCGAACCAGGGACCCTCGCTTGTAGCCAGCGATGCTCTAACCACTGAGCTATGGTGTAGTCGTCATCCAAGCAGAGACCGTTCAACGTTTTCTTCAGACTTCGTAACTCACACTTCCTGTGAATCCACACAGGCGGGTGGGACGCAGCCCTCACTGTAACCCACACACTTCACGTACAAACTAGCACGCGGGGAGCCCCAAGTCATAAAATATTAACTGGTTTGAGGGAAAGAGACAAACGGGAAAAGTCTGAAGAAAAAATTGACTGTCACCACCAGGACTCGAACCAGGGACCCTCGCTTGTAGCCAGCGATGCTCTAACCACTGAGCTATGGTGTAGTCGTCATCCAAGCAGAGACCGTTCAACGTTTTCTTCAGACTTCGTAACTCACACTTCCTGTGAATCCACACAGGCGGGTGGGACGCAGCCCTCACTGTAACCCACACACTTCACGTACAAACTAGCACGCGGGGAGCCCCAAGTCATAAAATATTAACTGGTTTGAGGGAAAGAGACAAACGGGAAAAGTCTGAAGAAAAAATTGACTGTCACCACCAGGACTCGAACCAGGGACCCTCGCTTGTAGCCAGCGATGCTCTAACCACTGAGCTATGGTGTAGTCGTCATCCAAGCAGAGACCGTTCAACGTTTTCTTCAGACTTCGTAACTCACACTTCCTGTGAATCCACACAGGCGGGTGGGACGCAGCCCTCACTGTAACCCACACACTTCACGTACAAACTAGCACGCGGGGAGCCCCAAGTCATAAAATATTAACTGGTTTGAGGGAAAGAGACAAACGGGAAAAGTCTGAAGAAAAAATTGACTGTCACCACCAGGACTCGAACCAGGGACCCTCGCTTGTAGCCAGCGATGCTCTAACCACTGAGCTATGGTGTAGTCGTCATCCAAGCAGAGACCGTTCAACGTTTTCTTCAGACTTCGTAACTCACACTTCCTGTGAATCCACACAGGCGGGTGGGACGCAGCCCTCACTGTAACCCACACACTTCACGTACAAACTAGCACGCGGGGAGCCCCAAGTCATAAAATATTAACTGGTTTGAGGGAAAGAGACAAACGGGAAAAGTCTGAAGAAAAAATTGACTGTCACCACCAGGACTCGAACCAGGGACCCTCGCTTGCAGCCAGCGATGCTCTAACCACTGAGCTATGGTGTAGTCGTCATCCAAGCAGAGACCGTTCAACGTTTTCTTCAGACTTCGTAACTCACACTTCCTGTGAATCCACACAGGCGGGTGGGACGCAGCCCTCACTGTAACCCACACACTTCACGTACAAACTAGCACGCGGGGAGCCCCAAGTCATAAAATATTAACTGGTTTGAGGGAAAGAGACAAACGGGAAAAGTCTGAAGAAAAAATTGACTGTCACCACCAGGACTCGAACCAGGGACCCTCGCTTGTAGCCAGCGATGCTCTAACCACTGAGCTATGGTGTAGTCGTCATCCAAGCAGAGACCGTTCAACGTTTTCTTCAGACTTCGTAACTCACACTTCCTGTGAATCCACACAGGCGGGTGGGACGCAGCCCTCACTGTAACCCACACACTTCACGTACAAACTAGCACGCGGGGAGCCCCAAGTCATAAAATATTAACTGGTTTGAGGGAAAGAGACAAACGGGAAAAGTCTGAAGAAAAAATTGACTGTCACCACCAGGACTCGAACCAGGGACCCTCGCTTGTAGCCAGCGATGCTCTAACCACTGAGCTATGGTGTAGTCGTCATCCAAGCAGAGACCGTTCAACGTTTTCTTCAGACTTCGTAACTCACACTTCCTGTGAATCCACACAGGCGGGTGGGACGCAGCCCTCACTGTAACCCACACACTTCACGTACAAACTAGCACGCGGGGAGCCCCAAGTCATAAAATATTAACTGGTTTGAGGGAAAGAGACAAACGGGAAAAGTCTGAAGAAAAAATTGACTGTCACCACCAGGACTCGAACCAGGGACCCTCGCTTGTAGCCAGCGATGCTCTAACCACTGAGCTATGGTGTAGTCGTCATCCAAGCAGAGACCGTTCAACGTTTTCTTCAGACTTCGTAACTCACACTTCCTGTGAATCCACACAGGCGGGTGGGACGCAGCCCTCACTGTAACCCACACACTTCACGTACAAACTAGCACGCGGGGAGCCCCAAGTCATAAAATATTAACTGGTTTGAGGGAAAGAGACAAACGGGAAAAGTCTGAAGAAAAAATTGACTGTCACCACCAGGACTCGAACCAGGGACCCTCGCTTGTAGCCAGCGATGCTCTAACCACTGAGCTATGGTGTAGTCGTCATCCAAGCAGAGACCGTTCAACGTTTTCTTCAGACTTCGTAACTCACACTTCCTGTGAATCCACACAGGCGGGTGGGACGCAGCCCTCACTGTAACC